ACGTAGGGATTTGGAAATGTAGAAATTTGGGGATGTGGGGATTTGGGGATGTAGAGATCTGAAAACGTAGGGATTTGGAAATGTAGAAATTTGGGGATGTGGGGATTTGGGGATGTAGAGATCTGAAAACGTAGGGATTTGGAAATGTAGAAATTTGGGGTTGTGGGGATTTGGGGATGTAGGGATTTGGAAATATAGAAATTTGGGGGTGTGGGGATTTGGGGATGTAGGGATTTGGAGACGTAGGGATTTGGAAATGTAGAAATTTGGGGGTGTGGGGATTTGGGGATGTAGGGATTTGGAGACGTAGGGATTTGGAAATGTAGAAATTTGGGGATGTGGGGATTTGGGGATGTAGAGATCTGAAAACGTAGGGATTTGGAAATGTAGAAATTTGGGGGTGTAGGGATTTGGAGATGCAGGGATTTAGGGATTTTAGAGATTTGAACACGTAAGGATTTGTAAATGTATAAATTTGGGGATGTAGCAATTTAGGAATGTACGTATTTGAAGATTTACGAACTCCAAATCGCACAACATTGCAAATTTTGAAATTTAGAGGGTAAAACCTCAAGAACATATAATCTCGAGGACCTAAAATATTTATAAATTTAATACTTTAATGATTCGCGTGCACGATTGCTCTTCAAACGCAGTTACAACGCAGTTTCTTCAGAATTTTCCACCGTTCAATTTTCCAACTTGTCCACGTCAGATCCGAAACTTTTAACTATAGGATGCAACATAGTATTACAGTAAGGATTCTTCCGCAGTCGATTGAAAATGATTGGTAGGATGTCCCCGTTACGAAAGTGTGATATATGATTTTCTTATGTCAATGTCAAGTAAAACAAGACGCAAAAAAAATTCGATTACTCGAGATTTGTTAATGGCTTTGACATTTTATGAAATAGTCCAGATGTATTTAACAAAGGTAACGTTTATTTACAACAATTCTTACAAAATCTTTTATGTAGTAACAATGATATGTTTCTTAGAAATGAAATTTTGTGGCAATTTAGTACCACTGGCGTAGTCTTTGCAAGGCTCGTTTCCACTCTGCAATTATCGGCTGATATCGTAATCTGTTCTCCTCGTTTGGTTCGAATATTGTCTCCGTTTTTCGAAGTTTCAAGATCTCTTCTTTGTTCTCCCAAATTCCTAAACAGAGATTAAAAGATAAGAGAAACTCCTAAAATAGATTGAAATCATTGTTCAATAAAATGGAAAGAAAAGTAGCATAGAATTATTCTGTTCTAGAAAGTGTAGTCAAATAAGTGTAATACTGAAACTTTCCCCATATTAAAACGGGGAAAGTCTGATAAAAACAGTTATTTGGATTATATAATAATACACTGAATATCTGAAGTTGTGTATACGTAAATTAGACATTTCATCAAAATATCACTGTTTTTATAATTGTAGACTAGCTTCGTTCGAAACGAAAGGTGTCAATGTAACTTATTTCTCATTCTAATACAAACTAGGTCTGTATTGTATTCGTGATAAAAATGCACACGACTAATTTACATACCGCATTGTAAACCAGCTAGGAAAGCTACTCCCAATATAGACATTTCTATGTTTGTCGCCCGTTCCACCTGAAGGCCTGTTAAATCGGCCAATAATTGTAATATGAAATTATTCTTTGACACTCCACCGTCGACTCTGCAATGAAAATATTAATCACTATCCCTCAATGTTCTGTTTATTCAATAAAAACAGAGAGTGATTCTGTAATTCTCTAACCGTATTCTGCTGTATGTGAAGCTTGTTTCTTCGCACAAGGATTCATAAAGGAGCAATATCCTGTAGACGATACTTTCCAGTAATGATCGAACAATGTGCGCCCTCTGGGTCGTTGGTTTTATTCCTATGAAGCCTGTTGCAGCAGTGTAGTCGTTTATTGGAGCCTAAAAATAAATAAATTTATTAATTCAATACTCAGAATATAAAAGAAGAGTTCAATTCCAGAACTTAGATATTGAGGAACTTAAAAAATTCAAGGATTCAGAAGATGAAAAGTTTCAGAATTTAGGGAATTAAGAATTCAAGAATTTGGAGAACTACCTGCAGTCCACTGAACGCAGGAACAAAACACACTCCATCAGAGTGATTTACCGAGCTCGCAATGCTGGCCGCTTCATCCGCATGATTAATAATACCTGCAGCAAACTGCATCCTTAAATTGCTAATAATGTGCCGTGACATTTAGCATTTATCGAGATAATGCACACTTTTTTTGCATATCATGGATGTTAATGGGCTAACTGAAGTCTTATTAACTCACCTATTTGTTTTGCCCATTCTATAAGAACTCCTGTATCATTCGATGCACCTTCTGCTGCGTACACTAGCTCATCCTTGATTCGCCAGCCTACTATTGGATATAATCCTGTTGCAAAAAAGAGGGATTTAGTATGAAGAAGGCATTAGTAGCTGCGTTTTTTATTGTGTATTTTATGAGAGTCTTATCAACGTTAGGACTTGGTTTAGTGGGAAGGTTGAGGTATGGGGATTTGGAAATTTTAGGTTTTGAGGGGTTGGAAGTTTGGGATTTGGAAATTTGAGGGCTTGGAAATTTGAGGGGTTGGAAGTTTGGGATTTGGAAATATGTGGGGTTGGAAATTTGGGGTTTTGGAAGTTTGAGGGGTTGGAAATTTGGGATTTGGAAATTTGAGGGCTTGGAAATTTGAGAGGTTGGAGGTTTGGGATTTGGAAATTTGAGGGGTTGGAAATTTGGGATTTGGAAATTTGAGAGGTTGGAGGTTTGGGATTTGGAAATTTGAGGGGTTGGAAGTTTGGGATTTGGAAATTTGGGGTTTTGAAAGTTTGGGATTTGGAAATTTGAGGGGTTGTACTCGCAAATTTTCAAGTTCCTAATATCCACTCTCTAACGACCTCTAAACCCACTTTCTTTAATTCTTCCCCTACATTCCCTACACTACCCCACCACCTCGGTACAAAAAGTACCGCCACCTAAGAGCATTAATTTCATAATTACGTATATTCCATCACCTGAGATAGACGCATGGGGTTTAGTACCCGTGTTAACGTTCATAAACGTGCCCGTTCCCATAGTTATTTTCAAATCACCTGGTCGAATGGCCGCCGAACCGAACAGGGAGGCTGATTGATCTGCCATCTACTTTAAATAACAACCAATTAAATTAACGAAACTTATTTCGATATCAATATTTAACGTGTGGTACTTACTGAGCAAAGTATAGGAATTTCAACATCAAATATCTCTTTGAAAGTGACACCGAAGTTTCCTGTCGTGTCCAGCACTTCCGGAAAGATATTGTGCGGAAGTTTCAACAAGTTTATCATCAAGCTGGACCAACTCATCGTGAACGGGTCAAAAAGTCCTGTGGCCGATGCGCTGGATACGTCTGTCACGTGTTTCCCTGCAAAATACATGCATCAAAATCTGAAGTGAACGAATTATTTTTGAGTATCGTCGTTTTGGATTCTTATGAATTTAAACAGCAATTGCAGTATTTGCAGTTATTGCAATTCGTGCTCGCTCGAATCGTTTATTCTTAAAGTATAATGTTAAAGTTAATACCGGTGAGTTTATACAAAAGCCAGCAATCAACGCCTCCGAAAACAGCATTTCCGTTATTCGTTGCCTCTTGCAAACCTGGCACGTGTTGTAACACCCATAATAACCTCAGAGTCATCTAAATTTCGGTGTAACACAAACGATGAAAAATAAAGCAGAAGGAAATCAAATCCGTTCATTTACCGAATGGAAAAATACATTTTTTTAAATCCATTGGATTGTAAATCATACTTGAAACGCAAGAATACTGAATTTCTTTCTCGTTCGAAATCTATCAACCCGTTCACTCTCTCGTTCAAAATCTATCAACCCGTTCACTCTCTCGTTCAAAAATGCAGCACGAACCTGTGTGTTCATGAATTTAAAAACACTAGCCGCCAGAAATCGCTTTTTTCTGGTGAGGGTGTACAAACATTGCGATACCAATCGCAGCCCCTTCATGGTCATCGAGGAGTTCCATTCTTTCACCATGGAATCGGCTCGCACGTCTTTCCATGTTATAAAACTGCAATAGGTCTCATTTAAATTTCATTCCTATTACGAAGACATGGTATCTCATAGTGATAGAATGTACAATGGATTTCATTGTACTAACTTGTGATAGTGTTTTCCGTCTTTCAAATTCCATGTCGTAAAGCTGCCTCGCTGCGTCGATATCCCGAGACAAGCAATTGATTCTGGCTTCACTCCGCTATCTGTAATTAATATACATTAATGATATTGCATATTTTATTTTTGCTGTATATTTTACAAATAGAATGATAAAATACTTTTCAACGCGTTCTTGATTACGTTCACTATGGTCTTCCATAATTCGTCGGGGTCGATCTCCACGTGGCCGGGACTTGGGTACAGTAGTTGGATCTGAAATTTTTTAGGTATTTACTTTTATGTATTTGTGTACTCTTATGCAGCTGTACACATAGCTCTGTTGTATGCATTTATTATTATTTACATTTATAGTGATGTAAGTGCTATGCCACGCTATGGTATATCTTATATGCTGGCTCACTATGTTATTAGTGCATTCAGTCTCAACTTTCGTTTATGTAATTACAAAAGATCGTCGATAAAACAGACGGAAAATATTTTGCTCAGCGACTATTAAAATATTTATCCTTGCATTTATTCAAAAACTTAAAAAGACCTTCAGATGAATATCTCCTGCAATCTACTATTTTTAAACAATCACATTCTTACGTCCATCAATTTATGTAAATACTTGCAGAAGAAATGAAGTCTTGTATTAATTCGATTGCAACAGACGTTGAGTAATCCATGATGACACTTTCTTTGCCAAATGAATTTTAAGCAAACGCGATACGAGGCCGACCACAAGTGGGTCGATTAACAACGGGTTAAGGTGTTTTATTAAATTGCTCTAAACCGTTGGTCCCCATCGTTGCTAATATTTCTCATCCCACGTATACAATAACTACAATGTGTCGGGTTTGAAACCGGTTAAACGAGGAAAGTCGAACGTCTGCTATAATAAAACCATGCAACGGGTTCTGATTCCTGTGTGGGTTAGCGATCGGATGAATCGGGATGAAGTTTTCCTTTAGAACTGCGTAATAACTGATCTTCACTTTATATTTTCTTCAGAAAGTATTTAATTCTATAGATTGTTAGATCTGTACTTGCTTTGATATTTACATCGAGGTTCATCTTAATTTGCCATAATTACACGTAAACCTTTATGGGTCAAGTAGACTTGTGTTATGTAAACTGTAGGAAACGTAAATACGCAAAAGTTGGAGCTTCAAGTTTAATAAATCGTCGCTATTTAATGAAAAAAAAAATCGTCGCTGTAATGAATCACTATCGCTATTTTTTTAAAGCAGTATCTTATCAGCAGTTGCACTGTCAGTGCATGTTAAACAAAGCTGAACTTTAATACACGAGTAGCTGAGTTACTACTTAAAATTGTATCGAGTAATTTTTCAAATTAAATACGAACAATGGCTGTCAATTCTTCAGATTGTTAACAGTGGTATACTACGCTGTATAAATACGTTTAGTTTGACTATAGAGCTAACAAAATATTCATGGAACTTCTGTAACGTGGATATAAGAGATCTCACAATCTCACAGATATCGATTCCATAGTAAAACAATTTGCTGTTCGAAAGTTTTCACAACATGATAAACATATTCCAAGTATTATTTTAACATAAACTAATTAGATAAAGTTACATTACGATATCGATATGATACGATCTCATTTCACAGATATTCATCTGCTGACAGAAGGTCTTTAAAAAACATGGATAACAAAATTATCTCTGATACAGTGAGCCTTTAATCACTTGAGTGATTTGATAAAATTGCATCTGATTTTCAGCAGGCTTTAAACAATACCCATCACAATAAATTTCAAAATTATGAAATTACAAACCTTATCAACAAAAGAAGCGACAGTGTTAATTTGTTCGTCGATGATGTGAAATCGCACGGAGGTGGTCCCAACATCTAGAGCTCCAATGTACTTCATTTTCCTCACAAAATAGATTTTTTAAGTTCCTTTCATTCGAGCACTTGTCCCAATCGAACAGACACACGTGTTTTTTAGGAACATTCGCCGCGTGTAGCGGATTGTTCGAAAACAGGCGACAGACTACACTCGTTTATCGCATGCGGTCGGTATTTTAAGTAGAACGTAGCATTACGCATGCTCTGTCAGCGAATTCTTTGAGATTAAATTCACGTAGTACGGCGATGTAGCGATGAATACGTTCTACGAGCGAGTGAGGCTCTTTCATTCTTATCGTGTGTAATAATACCGGATGTCGACATTAAATGATTCGTCGGTAACGATGTTATCCGATAACTAGATTCCATGCTTCAAACGTCTATGTCCGTAGCTTTGAGTAAACGCTTCACGGTTGACCTAGTTGTAGGGCTCTGAAGGGTTTCACATGCTACAAGGTTTTATAAGTTCTAAGTTGAAGGAATTATATGCAGATACATAGCTCTAGATCTATACAAGTTTTACAAAATGTATATGACACTTCACAGTATATTTCTGTCTTCACTTCTATGTAGTTATAGTTCCACAAAGATGTGATTCTTCACCACATAACTCCTTCTAACTTGGTTCACACATAGTTCTGTAAATTCTATCTGATCGTACTATCACACAGATATCACCAATGTATCATACTCCATACACAAACTGTCTATGCAACTAACACTGTTCGGATGTTAAACCATGCTTCTATCTCATCACGATCGCACAGTAACTTTATAAGAATAGTTCCTATTATGTACCAAAAATGATGACTTATTCATACATGTACGTAAATGTATTTCAATTCAGTCAATTCATATTCTAATATCCTCGCGTTAATGGAATTAAAACATTAACAAGATTATAGACTTGTAATGAATATTCACTCCTTATAACTTTTTTACTCTGCCTTACATATGTAATTTAAACTCCCTGCTAATGTGTTTTTGCCATTCAAGACTGACCTTTGCAAAGTGCAATTTTGCTGTGCAATTTTGTAAATCGTTAGCTCGAGGTCTATCGATAGAATTATCGGTCAACCTTTCAATTATTTATACAACAGCTAATCGAGTAGCTATCGGAAATACATGAAAAACAAATGCATTCGAGCAGCGTGGGGGCGTCTCGCGTATCTGTAGCTTCGAATTTCATGGGGCGTTCAATAATTGTTGGACCACGAACACGAAATTGGTTCAATCGACTGGTTGCTGTTGGCTCATTTCGATCAGAATGAGAATATCCACGGTGCTCGGTCTTTTCGTCATCTTCTTCCATGATGGTTCTGGTAAAGTGTCAAAGTGTCCACGTGATCTTTTCTCAGATATTTTTTACGATAAGAATCTTTGTTTTAATTGATCATTTTAATTGTGAGATCCTCGCACGGTGAGGATCGCGACTTAGATTTTTGAAACAAGACTAGATTTTGCGTGTCTCCTCTTTTATTTTAATTATTGATTCATTATTATTGAAATTCCTCGGAAAAAATTTCGTTTGTTGCGATCTCTAGTCACGTTTTATATATAACGTCAATTGATATTCAGTGTTAATTGAAGAAGTCGGTAATTACCATAAGACCAGATCGAAGTCTGCGACATGTTTTTTTGAATTTCAAACGCATTGAATGCCTGTCGTTTAACAGAATGTATCAGGCCGGAGATCGATTTGTTCCACGACGCGTGCAAAAATTATTTCAATCCGCCGCCTATGCTTAACCTGAAGAGGCATCTTTTTTGTCAGTACGATCGCACTATTCGACCAACTCATTCTCAGCTAATCGTCAACAATGTCACCATGAAGATGCTACCCAAAATGCTGGAATTTGTAAGCCTTTATACAAGTATACGTTAGTGATTCATTGCTCGTTCAGTCCTCAGTAATTAGTATTACAAAAGAGTCTTGACATCAATCTCAATAACAAGCAACTCATCTCAGCAACAACATATCTATTTCTAAGATGCATTTTTTTCTTATGCAACGTGTTAGAGTCGATAATACTAATTCTACGAGGAAACAAATAAATAAAAAACTTGATAGATGAAAAATATTGTGAAGCCTTTTTTTGCAGGATGAGTGGAACAGCAGATTGACATTGCACAGTTGGATTTCTCTTGTAAGTGATATCATTAAGGTTTGTCGATAGAAAGGTTCAATAATAATCTTTGCAGACGTGGACCGACTCTCATCTCAATTGGGAACCACATGATTTCGATGGGATCAATTTTATTCACGTAAAAAGCGATGAGATATGGGTGCCTGACTTGTCGGTTTACAACTCGTAAGAATTCCTTCATTTTTCGTGTGAAGTACAAGTCTTTAAGCTCTTCGTTTTCAAATTCTAAGATTGCCAGATTTCTAAACTGCTTTAAAAAATTGTTGAATATCAAGGAGATCTCTTCCTGGTTGTTCTTCCTAGGAAAACTAGATATTATACGTTTGCTCCTTCGAAACAGGGGAGACTTAGCGATCGATCAGACAGGGATACCACCGACCACTTGTCTGATCTTCAGTACCGGATCAGTCAGTTGCGTTCCGTCTTTGAGACACACTGCCAAATGCGCGACGAATTTCGCTTCATGGCCCTACGACACTCATCAGTGTCGAATAAATTTCGGCTCGTGGTCTCACTCTGGCGAGGAAGTGAATTTCAATTTAGACAAGAAGCCAGTAAGTCCAATTACAGCAATGCAGCTGATCGAACAACCAGTGATTTTACATATTTGTTTTTAACTCGTTCTATGATTGTATAGTATGATATAGGAGGTTTCATGAACAATAGTCAATGGGATTTCAAAGTGTTGGACGCGTACAAACTTCTGAAGAAGTACAAGTGTTGTCCGAACGACACGTACCCCATAATCGTTTATGAGTTTTCTGTACGTCGTCATCATGGGATGTTACATACTACGTATGTTACTCCTGCTATAGGTACGAATACTTTTTGGATTAACAGTCATTTTGAGATTTAGACTACGTTGCTCTTTTACTTCAGCTATGATGCTTCTAACGTTGACGGTTCTTTGGTTGGATTCGAGATCAACGGAAAGAATGGCGGTCGCTGGTGTGAATTTAATTTGCCACATGCTCTGCATATTTGATTTGCATTGGCAGTTACCGCACAATGGTACCAATCCACCTAATATATGTAAGTAAATAGGTGGTTCGAAATTTAGTTCCACTCATAGGTTTTGCATAACATAGTTTTATGGGTCAACTAAAGCGACCTATGTCGCTGTATAGTCCTACGTGAACACAGTTTTACGTTAAAATTATTGTAACAAATTTCTTGCAGTACTGTATTATCGAGATTCACTAGTCCTAGCAGTATTCGCGTTACTCTTAACCGCGCTACTCCGCAAAATGCAAGAGATGAGCATCGACGTTCCAAACTGGATCTCCTCAACAACAACATTCGTGCTAAGCAACCGAGCAGGACGTTTCCTCATTCTCGCAGACGATGACTCGAAATTATCCGCGAGTATACTCGAACGAGACGCCGAAGAGAACTCTGATCTACCAAAGTCAGAGGCTAGATCCAAAGACTCCTCGTGGAGACACTTCGCAGCCATCATCGAGTGGTTATCGTTCTTCGCTGTGATTATTGCTTACATCGTCATCTTAACCACTCTTGTACCAGCCACTTGAAAGGACGACCCTTTTTATTAATTCTACGTTTCATCGATTGTAGATTCTCATTGTCAATAAACGATCATTTATATCGACTTTTCTACTGTAATCTCTGCGTCAAGTTAATTATAGCTGTTCCTTCTCCATAGTAATTATTTCCTTTCATTTTTATTGTAGTAACTGGAATTTAATTGTGACTTTGTAGGGTTTGAAATAAATGACTCAGTGACTAGTATTTTGTCTTCTTGCTTACATTTTTCTTTAACTTTTCTGTAATGATGGAATTGGGATAAGACTCGTAACGTTCATGGTGTTCTTTTTATACGTGACGATCTTATTTAGTTAATGAACGCGATCGTAGATTTCTATTCAATCGTCACGCGTTAATTCGCCACACGCTGTGTTCCTACGTGATTAATTGTTATCTGCGTTTATTGTTATCTGAGTCACTGTTTACCATAATTACTTTGCCTCGTACTAAATCGCCAGGCGTAGAATTACGGGTTGTATCACCCTACGCTACATCTCGTTATATCGCCTCTTAAGTCTTTCGTTCCTGACTGATCCAACGCTGATTAGAAACAAAGACAATAAAAAGGTCATACTTCCATCTTAATATCTCGTATCCCATTTCAATATCTGTATCACTCACTATTTTTAGTCCATTGTAATTATGTAATCGAATGACTTCAAATTTTAACACCGATATGACGTATTCGGAAGGGGGCGGTTTTCTGTGTAGTCGGTTTAACATTTCACTGGGCGTACAACAGATTCTATTCGATCTTTCAATGTGCAGTTATAACACGAGTGCCACATTGATTGGTGCGATTCAAAATGAGAAATATTCTTCTCGCGTTATTCGTAATCCTCCTGCAGGACCATCAGGCTAGTGGGTTCGTTGAGGATCTGCTTCTATCTATGTCCTGCAAGGAGATTATCGACAATTCTCCGTTGCAACAGTTAAAAGAGAATCTGTTCTGTTACTACGACGAACAAGTTAGACCTGTTGAAAATCATAGGAACGTTACTGTCGTTGATTTTGGAATCACCATGCAACATTTCCAAGTCGTAAGTGAAAATTCTTTCTTGCATTCTTCACGTTCATCGTATAAATTACTTGAATTTTATCGTTAGGATGAATTCTCACACACGGTTGACTTTCACGTTTGGGCCAGAATGGTGAGTACAGTTAGTACAGGACAAATGAATATAGGATTCACATGAATTTTGCTCTTTGGCAGATGTGGAAAGATCCAAGTCTTGCATGGACACCATCGCAATATAGTGGTATAGAATGGCTTCAAGTGATGAGCTACGACATTTGGGTACCAGACATAACGTTGCATAGTGTGTGAGTTTCAGCCACCGATTTTATGGCAATATTTTCCAAAATATGAGAAACATTTTTGGAACAGGTCAAACATCGACATCGATATGGAGATGCCACGGGTTATATGTTACTTGCATCATATTGGTAGTGTAATCTGTGTGCCATCGGTGGTGTACACAACGTATTGCGAGTCAGAACACACATGGTGGCCTTACGATTTAATGAAATGTAGTTTGCACATTGCCTCCTGGTCTCATTCCTCTGACGAGATCAAGTTACGTTCTCTGCAGCTCAGTAAAGAAGGTCTAGTGCGTATCATAAATTATGGGTTGTCGCTTAAAAATATTGTATACTCCGACATCCGTTATATAATGAGGATTGTTTTAATTCTCAGCTAACCCAGGATACTTACGACTTAAATTTGGAATGGCAATTAGTGAACATGTCCGAAACGAGCCATATGTATCAATCAAAATTCGACGTGGACTTCTCTAGTAATATGATAACGTATGATATTATCTTGCAAAGATATGCTTCGATGTACACTGCTTCTTTCATGACAGCGATTTTAGGTTTGTGAATGAACTAGAGTTTAACGGACGATTAAATCATGTAGTTTACACGTTTGTTTGTGCATAGTATTAACAGCGATGACGTTGATGACGTTGTGGTTGGACCCAAAATCCACTGAACGTATGGTAGTTGCGAATTGCAATTTCGTTTTGCATTTATTGTGTTTGCAAGATTTGCAATGGAAACTTCCTCACAATGGGACTCATCCTCCCAAACTACGTAAGTGTATAATTGTCATGACGCCAAGTATCAAATATCTTCAACATTGTAACGTGATGAATTCATTTTAGTTCTCTTTTACGAGAATTCGTTAGTTCTGGCTACGTTCTCGTTGATCCTCACCAGCCTTCTTCGTCATATGCAAGAGCTCAATACCGATGCACCTGTGTGGTTATCATCGACTACCGCTACGATTTTAAAAAGCAGAGTAGGCCAGATATTTTTAGTGAGTATCTTGGACCCAAAAGTATCGGCCACAATGGAAATGAACGCCGACGATAACACGAATCTCGTGTCCTATGATAAAAAAGAATCCACTTGGAAGTATACCTCCATTTTGATCGGATGGTTAGCGTTCTTCGCTGTATTGTTCACTTATGTGATCATGATCGCTGTTTTTCTGCCGACAAATAGCAGAGGCAGAAGTGTTTGGGACCATTAATATAAAAACTATATAAAAGGGAAATTTTTTGTGTGAAACAGATGTTGCCAATTTCCAAGATTTCTCTCCAAATGTCCGATTTTCCATCTTCTCACGTTGACTCCGAGTCCCTTTTACTCTCAAATTTTCATATCCTAAATCTCCTTCAATCGGCGGAACATTTAATGTCTCATCTAGAATACGGTACAAAAATACACAATGTATAATACTTTAAGAGTTTGGTTTTCATGTGTAAAATCAGTGGATATTTAAGAACTTTTCTATAAATACATTTATTCTGAAAAACATTTCGGATTTAACTGACTACGTCAATTCGATCCGCTTTTGCGTATGTTAACAGTGCGACCCAATTTTACATTACTTCCGGTAAATACAATTAAGTCGTATCGATTAAGAACGAATGTTACACGAATAATTTGCGATCAGATGTTTACATGAACAGTGTGAAATTCAAGTGAATCGTAGAATCGTGTACTATATATAATAGTGTTACTGTTAGTGTTAGTCTAATAAACGCTAATGAGAAATGACCGGTGTTCCTCGAGTAATCAGAACTTATTTGGTGCTCTGTCAACAACATCTTACATTATGTACAATTTAAAATTTGGCATTCACGCGAATGACGTTATACTACATATACAGTAAATTATACAAATAAAGGGACTGCTAAGTAGAAAGTTTAATACAATTTCGCGTTCGTTTGAACTATCATTCTCCTTCCGTGAGAATATATTGATGAGTAAATGAAAGCACAAATCAAGCAATAAATGTATGATAAGTTGTAGAAAATTTAAACCGTAAAAATATTATATTAGCATTGAAATTCCTATTCGAGCATGATTTGAGACATATTAGGTAGAATGGAATGATACAGACTTTACTGTGACTGATACAGTAAATAATCTTTTAGAACCCGTGGAAGTGGAAGCGAATCAACTGCATTCCTTTTGGTATACTGTAGTATAGCATCACGGCAGGCACTTTGTAGGGTAGATACTGCTAAAACATTTTATTGCTATTCAGCATAAAACTTCATCCAAGGTATTTTGAAGAAAGTTAAACAGAGATTACATACCACCATATAACTGCACTATTCTGACTTGTTTTGTAGTACCATATACATCAACTACTGCGTATAAAGGTCCTGCCTTGTAAGGTATGTCTTTCCCACACACACCTTGATCTTCCCCATTTATTATGAAGTGTATCTCAGCCTTGTCCGAGCCAGCCTGTGGCACATACATGATCCCAATACGACTACCAGCATCAGTAGGTAAAATGTACTGGGAAGGATCAATTATATTTGGTCTAAGAGCACTGAATGGTATAACTCCACGAGAAGTTTGCACATTGACCCCATCTGTGATTAGTTTCTTTTCTCCTGAAGGTATTCCTTCACCTTGAAACACATGGGAAATACTTGTAAATCATTTAAAGTTTGAATATATTTGCAAGATCATTCCCATAGGGTTGCAATTCTTACCATAGCCTTCAAAGCTATCCCATATAGTGTGACTCCTGGTAATAGCAAATATCCATGTGTTCCCCAATCTGACAAGATCAGGTATAGTAAATTCTGGCAGACTATTGCTCATGGAAGCAGGATCTATAAGAGTAAGTCCCAGTCGCATGTGTCCGCTCCATCCTCCTTCAGTCTTTTCAATCTCCACCAGGAATATCTCACCTGGCTGCAATGGTTTTTCGCTGAAAGCCACTGAGTTTGCGTAGCTTGCAGTACGATATGCCACTGTACTGTCTTCACGAAGCACAATGTTCTCCCCGTGAGTCGGGTGGAATCTAGTAACTATCTTCCTGAATTTCTCGGTCATCGTAGCGTGTAATACGTGGAAGATTTGATTCCGTGTATCGGTATTATGAGTCTTGAGATGTGCCGTTGCAAAGACTCCCTTTCGCGAGAACTTTCATCGAAGAAAACTCGGAGAAGGAAGTTTGAAAAGCTCCCACACTCGGCAGAAAAGAATGTGGATGTACTTTCCGCGCGATCACCTCGATTTGAATGATACATTGGAATGTTTTCGATGATTTACATGGTTGCTTGAGATGCCCGATGGCCGAGAAAACGAGGTTAGGTATTCATCCTGATGATGCTTTCATCGAAATTGATGCCCAACGATCGTATTTTTGCACTATGTTAATATACGCTCTTTAAAAATTCTTATACTATCGAGAGGATGCGTCAATTTTGATTTTTACTCAACAATAAAAGCAGATACGAAAGCAATAATGCTTCACGAATGCTACAACTAGGAGAAACAGCTGATTGGTTGTGTACGACAGTATTGACTATTTGATTTGGAGGACCCCGGTGTTGACTTTAATTATTTATAAAAATGCATGGACGTAACTAGGACTTTAGAACAGGTTCCTCAATCTTAGTAAATATTAAATATGTTTTGGAAATCAGAAAGTAATAAATAATAAAAATCCTCGTTTCAGTGGATCAAATTTTTATTTTATTCAAAAATTCCTTTTAAATAATATATCCAATTAATATGAGAAACTGTAGGATCAGTGCAGTACACCATCAATTTTCCCGTAACTGGATATTTTTCTTCCGTCAAAGTATCTCCATTCTCCTTTGGATCTTCTTCTTGAAGGTGTATTTTAACGATGATACTCTTTAAAAGAATTAATACATTATTTCTCATAACATATATAATAATTACGAAACATTACCTCTTTGGATTCTAACATTGTCGATGGGGCTTCTATTTTAAAGACGTCAGGCAAATCGACGAGAAACTCGAAAGTTTTTTCTTCTTTGAAAACGTTTTTGAATAGTATTGTTGCAGGGAGGTTTCGTTTAATTATATAGGGTCCCATAGGTTTCGGTAAGGAGCAGGTACCAATCAGAGGAAACCTTTAAAATAAATTAATTTATATTTTCCACATGTTATTGTCCTTTATGTTTCTGCTTACACATATTCTCCAGCAGTTTTCGACGACGCCGTCAACGTGGCGACCTCATTTTCCAAGTCACTCGGTTCAAAAATCACTTCAAGTGTTTTATTAAATAATAGTGGAACAACAATACTTCTCTGAGAGGTGAAGCAGTCGTTATCCACCTATAACAAAGCTGTTTGCAAACTTTCTTTTTCCATATTGTACTTTTAACCAGTTCGAAATTGTGCTGTACTTTAATTAAGAACTCGGCGGACTCTGTAGTATAATTGTTGATACGAAGCAGGAATACACAGGAGCTTCCCAAAGTTGCATTCACGCGTGTAACTTTTTCCGGAGGCGGTGACAAAGCTTTTAATCGTAATTCGTATGGAAATTGTCCTAACTCTGGGCAATGAATATAAACCATCACGACAGTCTCCTCGGATGGTAGCATTGGATTGTATTGTACGTAAATAAACTCCTGCAAATTTTTAACTTCCTTTGAACCGTGTCTTTAATTAGAACTTCTGTGCAAAAATTGGCGTCAAAAATTTGTTGAATAAATGGCTCACGCGTGATAATGGAGCAACAACTTTCGGCAAATCGCGAATAGTGACGAAAGGATGATCCCAATTTGCCGTGTATTCGATCATTTTATTTTTCAAAGGATTTTCCACCTCCAATTCGTGACACACCTGAGTTCTCGTCGAGGTAACTAATTTGATCGATTTGATCACTTCCGGCTCTGTGATCTCGTAGTTTACGTTATAAAATTGATACTCGTTATCGTCGTTGACGAATGACACCTAAATTAAACAGAATCAATGTTATCAAAAGTTCCAACAAAAATACGCAGCAATTACTTTGAAATTAAATGTCGATTTCTCGTAGCAGTAAAAAACAGCACGATAATCTCGTTGGCCATTCGGTGGTACATCGATTTTGCTATTACCCTGGAACTCGTACAGGGTTGTCTGTCGACAAGGAACAAATTTAAAGATCTCGAACTGTAAGAAATAATACGTGATCGAACCTCCTCTTGTTCCTCTGCATTCAATAATTCAATTCTGCATAAGAATCGTTGCTGTCTGTCGAGCCAGTTGTGGACAGTGAACGACTCCGTGTATTTCGTCTTCGCAGGGAACTGACGATTAATTTCAGCCACAGCTTCCGGTGGCAGACTTCTTCCCCGAAGAGAATACAACAGTGGCGCATTTTCTTCTGGCAGTCTCAATAATAACGTACCCTATGCAACAGATAAAGCTATCAAGATTTAAATTTGATAAAAATCAACACAATTGTTTACTGTGTGCGGGTTGTCCTCAGAGTTCATAACAAGGGGTGCATATGTAACGACACAGGAACCGAATCCTTTAGCAGCGACGTGCAGGACATCTTCAGCGGAGAAGTAATCCCCAGTTACTTCAGGTTTCACCGTCCAAGGCAAGTGGCTATCGTTCATGACAACAAACGACTGCGTGTGCTTTTTACGTACCATAGACTCGAAGAACATAGTTTCTGTTGGTTCGGGAAGCTTACAACACCCTCCAGTGAGTTTCATCTTTAAGGAATCATATTTTTCTAGCTCGACTTCTGCCTGAAACATTTGTATTGGTACTAGGAATGGTTTCTGCGAGGGATATAGATTCTGGGAGTGTAGGGAGACAGGTTCTAGAGTTACAAGGTTCTACAAGTCCTAACTTAAGAGATCTTAGATGCAGGGATGAATTTAAAATCTCCATCAAATTTTTGTTTAAGTAACTCACTTCGCCCTCGATTATACTGCTCTGTTCTCGAGGTTGGAAATAGATGACGAACGTAATATCCATACCAGGAGAGCAATAACCGGTCAAAGGAGTGATTGTAAACGCCGTCGGTAACTTCGACATGTTCCACTTGAACCTACATCAATTTCTCTGTCTTAACTAATTCCTTAATCATGAAGCACTTCAATCATCTGAATTATCAGATCCCAAGTAATCACTCGAACCAACCTAGCACCCACATCTCCAGTGTTCATTAAAATCACCCTAGCCTCGCTGGTATAGCCCTGAACAATCGTGCCAAAAGAGACCCGAGCCCTGTTCAGTTGAAACTCCGCTCCAACGCAACTTCCCTGAACAACAAACAACGGCAGGATCGTCGAGGAGGTCTGAAGAGCCACTTTACACAGAAATGGTTTCATTCTGCACGTAGATTTGAAAGTGACCAACACGTTGGTCCTCTTGTTGGGTCTTAACACCATGTTCGTCGACGGTTCCACCCGCAATACCTCCGAAAGTCTAGGTTCTTTAGTCTGGAGTACCACGTCTTGGGTCCAGGATCGTTTCGTTTCCATGATGGACGCTCGTTCTAAGTCGCTTTGTGGCGTATCCAAGTTTCGCGATTTTAAACATCGGAATCGTTCGAGGTGCTCTTCGTAGTTGCTGAGATTCTTCATCAAGTCGAACTTTAAGTCCACGGGCGCCAGTCCTTCGTTTATCACTGGAATTCGCCGGGTGACGGTTCTGGAGATGGGGATGCTGCCCAGATCGACGCATTTGTCGCGGGGATTCACTAGGTGGATCTGAAAACGGGTTAATTTGTGTCAGAAATCTTTGACATTTATTGTCTTAAAATACTAGAGTTTGAAAATTGTCTTTTAAGATCCTAAAGATCCAACATGTCAAAGTGTCTCAAATTGTCAAAATGTCAAATATGTCAAAGTGTCACGAAGATTAGCAATTTCTAAAATAGCAAGTCTCCAAAAGTCTGAAACCTCAACTGATCGCATTAATCAACCGAGAGCAACAAAATTCCCAGTACCATAAATATCGTTTCCGAAACTCTGCAAAATATGCAAGCAAACAAATATTCCACATTTCGGACCAGCGGTCACTGTCAGTTTTGATTGATATATTGCAAGTATATATCGGAACTAGGTTGAGCACACATAAATCGATACACTTTTGTGGATAGCAATTGCGATTCGGTTGCGAATGACGCATGGAAAATTTATTTTGTCCAAGTTTGTTTCAGCTGCAAGTTTCGATTCGAGAACAGCTTTTCGAAAGTTTTAACGAGTCGATGCTCTTTTATCTGGAAGATAACTCACTTTGTAAGTGATTCCCTCGCCCGAAATCGTTATTTTCTTCTCGTTCGTCGAGTTGATCGTGAACACCAAGCACTCCCTGTATTTGGTTTCCTTCAAAGGTTTAAAAGTGATCGGTATACTAATCGTCGAGTTCGCTGCCAGGGCTTCGGAAATGGAACTCAGATCCACGTGCAGGTGCGGTTGTTCCTCGAATTTACATTCGATTCTGTAAAATTACGAAGCTGGAAAAATTGTTAAGAATTTTGAAGGAACTTACATGAACGCCACGTTCTCAGAATTCTTCACAAGCAGCTCCTTGTTATAAGACATCGCGTTCTTCTCCTGAACGTAACAAGGCCCGAAATCGTAGGAATTGAAGCTGAATTCGATGGCAGGCTTCTTCGAGCAAGCTCTCACCAAGAATCGATAAGTCGGGCCATTTGAAATCTAAAGGAAATTAAAAGGCTCTCTAAGTACCACGAAAGTTACTTTCTTCGTTAAACAGAACGATCAGAATAAAGTTTCCGCAAGTCAAACTACTTTGGGCAGAAGTTAAATTATTTTTCGATGATAGGGTAAATATTTGCGCAACTTTTTTCATTTCTTGTTGATTAAAATATTGTGAAGATGTTTCGTACAAAATTTTTCAACGTACTTTTAAAGCGATGCAATGATCTTTAATAGTGGTCTTCCGGAATGTTGTTAACGTCAGACAACAGGTCGATTGAGATTCACTGACCACGTGTCCCTGTTTTTGTGGCATCGTGATGCTGTAAGCGTTTCTGGATGCAATTTCTGGCGTAATACCAAGGTTCCAAGTATAATAAAACGCCACCTTGCCAGAATTTTTCACTTCGAAGTTGATGGTGGTCGGAAACTGGAGCATCAGCTTAAAATCAAAATAAGCGGTTGAAATCAATCATTTTCTATTAAAAATGTCAATCAAAAACTAATTATAGTCATTCTTAAACTCTACACTTTATTCAAAGTTTTCTCATTCGTATTGGATTTAAAATTGCTATAATTGCCAATCATTCTGCGTTAAAAGTATCGAAGCGTTTACGTAGTCGTTTTCAGCCATAAATTGCCATATTGCGACTTATATTTTATTATGCTTTTATGTCATGAATTTCTATTGTACTCCGACACGATCATTGTTTGGTATAATTGGCCCCAGTTATTTTGTATCCAGAATATCGATGAATCACCTACGTGGGCTCCAAGCTTTAAATTGGTATATCGCAAGTGCAGTTTAACGATACTTTCGTGTCACGAATTTCTATCTGCACGTTCCGAAATTGATCATTATTCTGTATAATTACTGTCCAGCCATTTTGGCTGGGAAACGTTTACGTAGCCATTTTCTACGAGTCCGGCGCTATAAACGTTACTTTACTCTTTTGTTCGAAACGGTGTCAGCGGAATGAAAAAGATAATTCCGTTTAATTTCGAACGAGAACGAAATGTAAGCAATAAGGTAATTCGTCTAGAGCGTTTAAGCAATGAAAGGGATTCGTTCACCCTGCCTAGGTCGATGACATTATCTCTGTCTCCAAAAGCCTGCACGGTTTCGCGTCTGTCCGTGGTGTACGAAACCGAAGACACGATGTCGTAAACGATGGCGGTGACGAAAACTGCGAGGGGTCTTTTCATCAGTTTCACGGCGCACTGAATGGAAAAGTAGAATTCACCGACCCGAGTTGGATGGTACTCGACCCTGTGGACGAATTAAAATGTTCACTGAACCGTTCCTTGAACGTGGTTTCTTCAACGAATTTCAGACTGGAAGAATTATTTTACCATAGCTCACACGAATGTTTAATTTGCTTAATTAAGGAAAAATGAAACATACGGGGTGGAACTGCAATTTCGATAATTACCACAATAACTGTTCATTCTTTGGAATTAGAGATCCAGTCATTGGAGTCACGCTGAGTTTCTGAAATTTCCCCTCGGAGTACAAAGATTCTTCCAGGATTGCAAATGGTAGTTCGAAATCTTCGTTGTTTAACAATCTGATGGGGTCTCGAACGTTGTAGCCTAGATAAAGCAGCACAATGAGAATCTGATCTTCAACTTTTAGTTTTCTGGTTTTCAAATATCTAAGCATTCAACTTATTAAGTTTCCAATTCTTAAATTGTCAAATTCTCACATCGCTAAATTCTGAATTCCCCAAATCACCAAGTCGTAAAATTTTCATTTACCCTTTTCAAAGAAAAGGAAGACAGTAAAGATAGTGGAGACTGAACCTAGGATTGTTGGCTTCAGTTTCACGTGAACCGTGAGGCAGTGCACCGACGGTTCGGTTACGACCCCGACGACCAGAAAAAGGCACTCCAGATTGTATCTCTCGATGGAGAAGAGCCAGAAGGATTCGAAGACGCCGACGTCCTCTGCCAGAAACGTGAAAGCCAGGTCGGTTCGTTTACCGCGTTCGGCGACTCCTTCGATTACTGTGCAATGAAAATTCGATATCTCGTCTACGCTATTTCGTGTTCGATCCTTCCAACAAAAATGATAGTCGTCCGTCGTTGGATTGATCAGATGGAACTTCCTGAAATTATACCTTTAATGAACTGTCTACTTCAATTAACCTCATTCTCATTCAAACATTACTCTGTTATTTAGAAACCTTTTCTGTCGGTAAGAGTCAAGATTTTTGCTTCAGATTATTTGACATATTCAGGTGATATACGTTTCAATCGAGAGTAATTAAGAAGTCGATTAGAATGAACGTTTAGATTGCAACCAGTTACGCTTACTTGACGTGAGTCCCACCGATGCCGACCACTTTAAATTCGATTACCCTGACACTCTGCCACAAAGTCGGATCCTCTATCTCGTATCCCACAGGACCTGGTCGCTTTGGATCCCGTCTACCACTGGTTATATAGTCACTCTCTTGCACGTCGAAATGACAATAGGGTAACAAACTTCTTCCCACAACTGGAATGGTTAGGCTCGGTACATTTGGATTCAGATTTTCTATCCTGTCAAATACAATTTTTATTTTTATATTTTCTCCTCTTCATAATTCAGTTTAGCTAGAATTTCATTATAGTCTATTTACCTCGTAAGATTTTTACTTATTACTTTAGTAGATAATTACTTTAGTATAAGTAGAAAATACGAAATGTATTTTACCTGCATATGAGATATGCTTTATAATAAAACACATCCATTGGCGAGAACGAGATGGTGCATTTTACGGACTCTTGAGGCGGTATATTTCCGGTTTCAGGGTTAATAGAAAATGGAAGGTCATCTTCCAACCAACTATCCGCGGTTCTTCCGGACAGACCGGCTGTGCTGCTGAAAAGATCCGATTTTCTTCCGCTGCTTTTAATCGAGAATGATTTTACATCCATATTAGCTGCAATCACAGTGTCATCTTTTTATTCAAGTTACTTTAATAATATCCAAAAGACTTTCTGAAATAAGGAGTCTTAGATTTACCAGATTGCACCGGCGTGCACGGCATAGAAAACAATTTCAGGCCTCCTGTACCGTTCGTCTTGTATTTAGCGAATTTCCCGCTAGGAAACTCATGGATCATGGAATAAATTTTTTTGGAGGACTGTTTCGATTGGGTATCGGCTGTAGCGGTACTTGGTCTGGGATTTATATTGCCTCCTTGCTCCCTCTTCGGGTATTGCTCGTCCATGCTTATTTTCCAAGCGTACGCCGTATTTACAGTTCCCGGATTCGTTAATGTAAACGTGTATTCCCTGGTCTGCAATCAAACTCGTTTTATTCATCGCGTAATTAACTGCAAATACCTCATTTACTCCGTAATAACTTAAATTCACAAGTGTGTTTGTATCAAAGGTCAATCGATATTCCGCCTACACCCTATTAATTTAATTAACCTGGAACATGAGTGTATCCTTGAAGCGAATATCTTGGACAGGACATTCATATTCGGAGAACGCAACAGTGACATTCAGCAACAGATGAATGTTGCTGCTGGTTCCAGGTATGATTTCGTGTTGTGGCTCTTCGGTTGGTTGCACGATCTTTTTGGCTATTAGTTCTATTTCGTACTGGTGAGGATCCACGTCTGGGTGCATCCTCTCCCATTTGACTTCGGTCTGTCTATCGTCCCAGGTTTGGTCGTTCTTTTCTTCTACGAGCACTATTTGCACCAAGCTGCATTCGATACGAGTCTGCGATCACGGTTCATTATTTTAAATTAGCTTACGTATTTTATTTATGTGAACCAGCTAAGAAAAGTCTTTCCAATTAACTTGAAATATAATTGATATTAAACGAACAAAACTGCACCATAGGAGCAATAATTTGATGTAGCACCTCGGCGAAAGGATACACGAATATAAATTACATAAATTGCGGTTCGTGAAGCTTACGGTATTACACGAAACGGGAGAATGGAAAATTGATTTTTCTTTTTAAGCCACGGCCCTTTATTGCAGGAACGTACGTTCGTGTGATTTGTAGGTTCCGGTGCCAGGAAAGTAGCAACGATTTCCTTGCACGTTTGATACTTGATGTGTCCAATTGATGGCATGAACACCACGTGAGGATGCACGCTCCATTGGAAACGGAACCATCGATCCGTGGATTTATTGACAATCTTGAAAGTTTTCTTGTACATTTTGCTGACGAAACAGAGACCGTAGTCGAGGTTGTAGGTCAGTGACACTGCTACGGTCGAGCTGGTCGATGCTGCAACAAATAATTTTCACTATAACGGAGTTAATTAATCTACAAATAACGGAGTTAATTAATTTACCTGAAAGCAAGGTATTTTGTTTCGACGACAATCTTCGTAATTTGCTGGACTCTCGACTTCTCCTTTTACGCATATTATCGTCGAGCTCCAGACCGTCCAGAACTATCGGTTCCAAGTACGATTCACCCTCCAAATTTATCACCATGTTCTCATAAGGATTATTGACTATGTGCAAACGGAGTTTCGCATTGTATTTTTCAATTTGGGTCGGAGAAAATGTTACTGTGAAACGAGCCACGTTTCCGGGCATCAAAAGAATCACGGTGCATCGGTCATGGGGTTCTACGAGCAAATTTTTCCGGAAAATTCATAAGATCCACAAAATTTAAGAATATCATTATCAATCAATGTTATAAATTTACCGTCGCAATCTTTGTCCCAAATTTGCAAGAAGTTCCTAGTATCGGAGCACGGAGAGAAGGCGAACACGTTGTTCGAATCTTCATCGATCTCCAAAATAACTTTCGCCTTAATTAACCCAATATTTTCCAGGCTAAAGTGTCTGCAATTAGCTTCATTAATCAGAGTACGAGGAAAGTTTAAAGCGGCTGTTTCCCGTTTCCCGTGGGCCGGTTCCACGATTGCCACTTCCGGTACGCAGGATTCTCCTACGAGCTTGATGAACAGCTTCTCTTCCCCCAGATGAATAGGCACCGCTACGATCACTTGTAAACTTCCTTGAAACGTCTGCAAACATTTCCCCACGGAGTTTAATTAATCGTTACTAACACTTCTAAACATCCACCATTTTTTATCATATCGTACATTATTGCTTTTCATTAAATTAATCCTTTGCCGTATATCCTCCTGACTCACATTTCTTAATCTTCACATTTTTAGTACACTTCTCTTAAAATATTGATTGCAGCAAGTATTGATGTATCAAATATAATTATACGAAGTGTAACTGTCGTTAACATAGTCGTATAATTATCTTAACATAGTCTGACTAATTCAGATGATGATGCACTGTCTGTCTAATGCTAACATCTGACTGATGCAGAATCATACGACAAAGGGTTAATAAAATTAACTAGTATTTGAAATTAAAGTTATCTAATATTTGAAAGGATTAAAGAAGTGCTATTACGTCAATGGTAGCAGGTGTGAACGAAACAGTAAAGGTTTTGTGACTCATAGGAGCAATCCTCTCGTTTCGTGGATCCACCAGGAAAGTGTCAGTCTTAGCTGTTTCCGGAATTAAGGACTGTGGTAGGAAAAGCACATCCACGTTAGCGGATACTGTGCCTAGATTGTAGAGTCTGAAACACGTGCTGTGTGTGCTCAGCACCCTGACGTGCCGGAAGTAGAGGGTCGTTTCTTGTCGCGCGAACACCGTATGTGGCCCAATCTACACAGATCGATCTTAATGACCTTTGGAAACTTTTTGGAAAGTGTCATTCGTTTATCCCCACATTTTTATCATTTTCTTTTCAAACCCTTATGCTTCCTTCTAACTTTGTCTTTACGATTGATACATCAAAATCGAATATTAGTTTAAATATTTGTGAAGACCTCTTTGGGACACTCAAAGTCCTGAATCCGATCCACCACGTGATTCTCCTGGAACATGGAGTCAAAGTCGTGGAAGTCGATGTGTGGAATAGCAGACCTCACAGACAAGGCAATCGTTTTTCCATTCCTGTCTTCAGGAACGCTATCGCTGACCAGAACGCAAATATGTTCCTCTTGAGAGCCTACGAACTCAGGGTAGCAACTGATGGCAATGGTGTCCGTTTCACCAGGATTAACGTAGCCATCGGTTTTCGTGACAATCATTGGTCCCACTATTAGTTGTTCCGGTTCCAAATTTGATGATCTATCGATAGGGTAAGATACTTTCACGTTTTTCTATGGCAAAGAGTTCCTTCGGATAATATCCAGTATTACTTGACATCTGTATTATCGCTTCTGGGAGATCTTTTCTTCCTCTTCGACAATTTTCCACTTATGGTGCGCTCGATTTTATCTTTTACCGACTGACTCATGTAGAATACGGACGGATGCTTCAATGGATTGAATATTGTATAGTGAAGCTGATATTTTCCGGTGTTCTCGATGTCGAGGTACATGGTCTTCTCCGTGCATATGGCTAGCGTGCCAAAATCGACCGTGGGGTAGGGAGATACTCGAAATCTGTGAAATAAATGATAAAGTAAGGACAGTAATACATAGTCATTGTCTCTAATTTATGTGAAACGAGCCATCATAAAATTTTGATCATTGTAAGTGACTTCTAAACGTCATAATAGTCCTCCAATTATAATAGAAAGTGAAAACCCCACGAGATGAAAGATGTAGTACCTCGTGTAATATGCAATAAGCGAAACCGTGAGAGGTATTTCAGCGATTATGGCGGTCTCTTTCTGCATATCCACCAAATGGCACTTTAATATCGGAGCATTTTTCAGAGTCATCTCGCTCTTTGGAACAAAAGTTACCTGTAAAAGCATTTTTATTTTTACCATGCTTCAGTTTTAATGACCTTATAATTTTAAACCTCTACGACTTCCTCCTTTCTCGGTGGTACAGAGCCACTGACAGGTTCAACCTCGAGATCCTTCTTCAAATTTTTCGATAAATTTAATTCCTCTAGTTTATCCTTATCCTCCAGCATGATCCTATAATAATAAATTACTTAATTCTTTGAAACCACAGAAAAAGTTCATTGGTTCTTACACGTATTTCACCTCGTAATTCCCGCGATTTTTTATGCTGAACGATTTTCTCGCGGGGTAACACACTTTCACACTTTTTAAATCGATAGGATTCGCGTAATTGATGTCGACCTCGACATCGTAAGTTTCACCGGTCACCAAAATGGTGTCCGTGAAAATTGGTTCCTCTTCGTCTTTCAATAAAAAGGCTTCGAACATCATCGCCTTTTTTTCTATCACACCAACCTATAAGTTATTTGATGATAAAAGTTTATTTTGCAGTTGGATTCGATGAATTTACCTGTGTACCGCGGTGACAGAATTCGATTTTCTGTTCAGCGTGGGGTTCGACCGTTCCTAATGATGGCGCGAAAGTTATCTGGGGTTCAAGAGATTCTTCTGCTTTCAAAGTCCAGAAAATCGGGACTGGCGATTTATTTCGAATCTCTATGGTTTTGTATTCCATTCGGTAGAGCAGCGTGCGTTCGAAGGATAATTGCCTCTCCGATAATTCGATGTCCAACTTTGCTCCTTCGTACTGCATCTATAATTTTTCAGACGAAATAGGGTTTCTAATCATTTAGTGGCTGTCACATAAAATATCTGATCATTTATTAGCATATAATGAATTCACTATTTAATAAAATTAAATTACTTTGATAACTTCGACCTTAGGATTATTCTTCAAGCACAAAAACAATTTTTCCATAACGATTCCAAGCTTCGTAGCAATCGCGGATAAAAGCACAGTTCCGCAGTTGCCAGGCTGCATAAATTTCGTGTCTCGTTAGAAGGTAGAACGGATAATTAAACGCAAGTTACTGATAACATACAGCGATAAGAAGCTCCTCTGGTTGAACGGAGAAACATTCAGGATTGTTCTTAGCCAGGAAGAAATGAACTTCTACATCCACCTTGGAGATGTTACAGAACTTTAGCTCAACTTCCCGATGGTGAGGTCTGTTCGCAAATAAGGTGTAATTGGATGTGGATTATCTTAGAGTTCAACTTGGACAGTGTTAGTCCTGGAAAATAGCTTTCCAGTTTCGGAACGATTCTTTTAGAGAACTTTCGAAGCAGACTAAAAAATTGATTTTCGATATTCGTAAAAATTGCTGAGATTTCTTTGTAGAAGTTTAATAATAGAATATACAGTCGTTTGGTTTTTTAGTGGAAGATTCTTTAATATTTTACATCGCATATAGAAAATGGCTTCTTTAATTCTTCATGTACGAATGATCAAAGACATTTTTAGTTTAAAATGGAAATTTTTTAAATTGTAGACTAACTTTGAGTTACAGTGAAATGGAAATGTCTGTAGTTGACGTAAAAGTTATTAGAAACCTTTTATCTTTTCGGAGAACCAGCATCGTTCCAAAATCAAAAATCCCGGTATCCAAGAAATAAGTGGGGCTGTATATTGCATTCACCTTGCTATTTGCAGTCTGTAATATATTCAAATTATTGGCTACATTATTAATATCGAACATGGATATTTATTCATAACTTCTGAATCCCTCGTTTCAAAAACAATCTCCATAACAAAAATGTTCTTCTATCTACATGAAATTTTACCCAAACTTCACAAAAAAGTTAGACCTCTTTTTAACCCACACGTTTAATTTTTATCATGAAGAGCTATGATTAAAATTTTGTAATACCGTGTTGAAAATAGTCTCGGGACTCATATCCAGATTCGGCATGTCAGCAACACCGGTGACATTCACTTGGTAAGTGATATTATTCCCGTCGAGGATAGTGAACACGTAAGTTTGCTCATGGAGTCCTATTACCTCTGGTTGGAAGCGAATCTTGAACCTGTGGCTCTCTTTTGGGAACAAGATCCAACGCGGCTTCAAGGGTTCTTCTAAAAACGTCTCCGAAATGGAGACATTATTGGTGTCCTTGCTGTCGATCGAGGACGCGATCAAAGAACGCTCCTCGGCTTTGCTCGATCTTTGCTCTTCCGCTTTCTTCCTCTTTTGTTCACGGCTTGCACGATTTCCTCGATTTTCCGACCGATTTTCTTGCACGCTTAGCTCGCTCTGCATCGATTCGATGAACGCTTGAGTTTCTACTAACTTCATGGCTACCAATTGATAGCTACCTAAATATTAATTCATTCAAAAGAAATCTCTCGTATTTGTATCAGTTTTCGAGCTTCAAATTTTGTAACATATGCAGAATTAACACGTACTATCATGTGTGAAACCATTTCGTATGTCAACATCTCTAGTCTTCAAAATGGAGTAAAGTTTAGGTTCCAGGTCAGGCTTGGGCACAACTTCAATAGCTGCACAAGAAAAGTTAATCAATAAGTAATAAATCAAAACACTCTTTACTTACGGAGAGCAGACTTCGCCAAATTATTTTCACTCATCTGTACAACCACCATGTCGTATATACTCTCTTGCCAAGGGTCACTGGACCTTACGTACCATATATGAAAATTGTTCACCGGTACCTGCTCAAAATGTATCATTTTATTTGCTGCGATAGAAAAATTTATTTGAGATAATTGCCTCTTTAGCAGTGTCTCCTATGTCTCTGGATTTTGCGCTTCGTGGCACTCTACTTTTTGCTGTGGAAGGTGCTTCTTGCAACTGAAATAAATTAGCACAATAACTGATATAATGATACAATAATAGTAAGCGATATAATGTACAAATAAAATCGATGATATAATTGATGTTCCTATAACAAATATATAGAATGTATAAGTTTACCACGATCTGCTTAATGGGATCCCAGTTAGAAATAATATTTCTGATGACCAACAGATCTGAATAGTATTCGTCCATGGCTAGCATGATCTCTCTAACTTCCTTTGGAATAACTTCTTTCCCTAGAGTTAACAAATTAAGATATCGAAAATTTCATTAGTAAACACTCTGGAAAAGAACAATCTGCAGCTATAAGAGAAGAGTCTGTCAGATAAAAGAAATTGTTGAAAAGTGAAGATTTCAGTAAGAAATTACTAGCATCAATTTCATCTGCACCGAGTTTAACACTATTCCTACCGACACTTCACGTATACCTATTCCTACCGCGACCGGTCAAATG